TAAACTCGACCTACGCAGAGCCACTGTTGTTAGGCCATCATCACCGATGCAAGACTATTTTCCCAAGACATTGCCATAATTGTTGGATCACCACCTCCCAACCACTGTCGTTGCCATACCACTATCATTTGGTCAAAACCGTAAGACCACAATAGTTATTTTTAGACCACCATGGCTCCACCGACATTGCAACTATCATTTTCATCATTAGACCACTATCATCTTTGTTGGGTCATCATCTCCCAATCCCACTATTGCCAGACTACCTTTAACCACCAGAACACAACCACATTACTAATGCCATTGCTGCCGCCACCATTTCTTGGTCATTATCAAAGTTACCATCTAACCAACAATGCCTAACTGAGTCATCGTCACTGTTAAACCAATGGTATGATATCACAATCATCATATTACAATCACTATCTATCACAACAATTATTGCTCAATCACTGTTGTCTAGCAACCACTATCATCAATGATAATTACTCCAGATCGCCAGTACGCAACCCCTAACATCAGTCTTCAATTGTTATAGTCAGGTCATTTTCGCTTCCCCAATATTTTCTTCAATCCTTATATTATTATTTTCTAATGTTTCAAAGTAAGCAAGATCTTGTAACAAACAAATGAATGGTGGAACTATTTTAACTGGGCTATGCCCCACATTTTTTTCTCTTCTATTTTTTCATGTAACAACCTTTATTTTTATTTATATGTGTATTTAATTTTCATACCATGCTAAGAAATAAATTTAAGTCTATTGTCACAAATTATCAAGCATGCAACAACAAAGATATGTGTATATATTCCAAAATTTTTTATCACATATAAACCAAATTTGGATGCTAGTTTGGGACTTCAAATTGCTTAATCATTTATTGTTAATTTTCTCATTTCGATTTTAATTTATATGCAATTCAAATCTGAATGATCAACTTAATGAGAAAACATGAATCGTAGTTTACATGAGAGACCAAAATTGCTTATTCTTCAATTTGCAAATTTCCACATTTTACTTATAGTCAAATGGTTTTTAATTTTGATGTGCTTCAAATCAATATGATTGGCTTAAAAAGTACAAATGAATCTTGGTTTTTATGAGAGCACAAAAAGTGCTCAAACTCAATTTGTAAATTTCTTCAATATATTTATTTACTTCAAATGGTAAAATTTTTAATTTGTAAACCACCTCAATTAACTCAAAAGGTCAAATGAATTTTAATTCTAATATGCTTCAAATCAAAATAATTAGAACACATGAATATTAGTCCATATGAGAGCCCAAAAGATGTGTAAATTAAGATTTTTTGGACCCGTAATATATAATTTTAAAATTATTTGCAAACAAACTTTGAAGTTAGAAATTTTTCAGTTGAAATAACCATCTCCTTATGTTGATTCCATTGTTGTACTGGCTCAAGGAGGAGAAAGAAGAGATGGAGAGATAATGCTAAGCTTGGGAATTCTTCTCACATCTATTGGAATATAATAATGCACAATATTGCCATAAGTTTATGTTCTCTTAATTTTGTTGTTTGAAGGGCAATATCATTAATAATTATTAGGATATGGCCAATAAAGTTTATTAAGTGTCTTACATTCTAGAGCATAGTTGAGGTGAGAAGGGTTGATTATAACGTTAAAGGGCTTAATAACCTTAGAATTGAGTTTTGAAATATATGATTAATTTTATTTTTCAGAAAAGCTTTGGAATGGAATGTTGAATCCTTTGCAATGTGATTTGGCTATAGTTGCCCCAACTGGACTTAATTTTGGCTTAATTTATGTTTAGTGGGTCAAGGTTGAGTTTAATTAAGGTCAAAAAATACTCAAAGCTTTGATTAAGTGAAATTTGGATAATTGTTTAATAGATTTATCTTGGTTAACCTTAGTTGAAGTCATCCTAAGTTTAGAGTTGGGCAAGCCATCTAAAGCTATGTTTTGGTTTAAGATTTAAGCTAAGGATTATAAATGTTAATTAGGTTGAATTGATCCTGATAGGGTCTAATAGGTCTATATTAGATCAATTACTAAATTGTAGCATAAAATATAGCCACTTGGACTTGATTTAAAAGAGCCATTAAGGTCAATTCAACATGTTGTCAAATGTGAAAAATGATAAGATGTTCAAAAGATTTAGAGATTTAGAGACTATTGTTAGTATTAAGATTCTTAATATTATAAGTGTTTATGCTAATCAAGTAAATTTGGATATATGTTCAAAAGAAAAATTTTAGAATAAGCTAAAATAATTAATACAGATGCTACCTGCTGAAAAAAAAATTATTCAGGGATTTGTAAATGGACATTTTGGTAGAAAGATGAGAGATTTTAGAAATATTCATGATGATTATAATTTTAGAGTAACTAAGTAAAAAAGTAAAACAAAATTGGATTTTGAGTTAAGGTATGATTTTGTTATTGCTAGTAATTCTTTTAAGAAAATATATTGTCATATTATCATTTATAAGAATGATTCTAATGAAACACAAATCAATTATTTTCTTATTTGAAAAATAGATCTTCAATATTGTAAGAATTCTAAGATCATTCTAAGTAAAAATTTAAATACCCAATATTGGTTATTGCTTTTAGATTTTAAAATGAAGGATTGGAAGATTAAATATAAAACAAAATATTATCACAGAATTAAATGTGAGCACTTAAAAGATACAAATAAAAATATTTTTATAAGTAAACTTTAAGATCTTAAAATTTAGAATGTTTATGAAGAAACTAATACTATTTGGGATAAAAAAAAACGAGTACTATTACACAAGTTGTAAAATATATGCTTTGTGAATTATAAGAGAAATTCTTATGAAAAAAATATTTAGTAGTGGAATAATAATATGCAAGATAATATAAGAAAATAAGAAACGTTGTTATAAAAATTGATTTAAATGTATAAACTTGTAGAATTGGGAAAATATATCATGGCCCAAAGGGAGCCTTAAAGAGCAATGCGTGATACTAAGAATCCAACTTTTAATGATCTTATAGTAGATTAGATATTAAAAAGGTTGATATATATATATATATATTATATATATATAGACACACACACACGAGCCAATTAAAGAGATAATAAAAGTAAATATTTAGTTCAAGTAAACTTTATTAAAGATAAAAATTAAAAAAAATACATTTCTTAAATAATGTGTTATACACTAAAATTACGGAAGAGAGTAACTGAACATATTACATGATAAACAAATTTCTCAAAATTAGCTTTGATTCATTCTAGAAAAAGCTTCTATAGAAGCTATGCATTTATTGAGATATTTGATGAGAAAAATATAGAGAGGATAAGAAGTATATACAAATGATTTTTGCTGATTTAGAAAAAAAATTATGATGAACTTTCAAAAGAAGTACTTTGGAGAGTTCTAAAAAATAAAGGTGTTGATATTATTTATATTCAAGCCAATATATATATATATATGTGTGTGTGTGTGTGTGTGTGTGTGTGTGTGTGTGTGTGAATGTATTAAGTGTGTGTGTATTAATTTTAAAAAAATTTAAAACTTTAAATGATCATGTGTGTGTGTGTGTGTGTGTGTGTGTGTGTGTGTGTGTGTGTGTGTGTGTGTGTACTAGAGTTGTTACTAAATGTTCAAATAAAACGAGGATTGAACTAGTATTTTCTTATTGCAGTTGGATTGCATCAGAGATCGGCTTTAAACCCTTTTTTTTTGTTTAGTTATGGGCACACTTACTCAACATTTATAGGTGGATATACCTTGGTGTATTTTTTCTGCCGATGATGTCCTTCTTATATATAAAACCAAAAAGAGAGTTCAGGAAAAACTTTTATGGAGGTCAATTTTAGAGTCTAAAGGCTTTCGTTAGAGTAGATATCAAATTGAATAAATGGAATGTAATTTTTTATATCTCAGGTATATATGCAGATGCTATTGGTAGAATTTAAGTTGGATGACTGAAGTGGAGGAATGCATTAAGCCTATCGTGTGATAGAAAAGTAGCACTTTGACTAGAAGGAAAAATTTATAAAATGGTGATGAAACCTGCAGTTCTTTTTGCGCTAAATGTTGGCTTGTATAATAGAAGCATAAAATTAAGTTAAGTATTATAAGAGACAAAATGTGAAATGAACATATCTATGAGAGGGTTGGGGTAGTTGTAGTGGGAGACAAAATTAGAGAGAATCACCTTAGATAATTTAGTCATATTAAACGATGACCATCTGATAATCTTATTAGGAGAGTAGATATTTTAGATTTGAATGGAGATAAACCTAAAAAATGATAAAAAAAGATCTTAATTTATTAGAATTTAAAAAAAAAAATATGACATTTAGTGAGATAAAGACTTGTTTATCATTGTTTGTTATTGTTGCGATGTAAAAATAATTTATTGTGATATTTTAGCTTTTAAAATTTGTAAAACACATTTTCATGCAATGATAAATTAATTTAAATAAATCAATTAAAGTTTAGGTGTTAATATGTAAATGCTTAGGAATTGGATGATATGTATGTAAACCTACATAAAATTGATTATTTTTTTTTTCCAACCAACACATTCGAGCAATTTTTGTATTCTTTTAAAGAAATTTAAGGAAAATTACATATATAGTTACTTATCATACACCTAAAATTTCATTTTTACACACATAATACTTTACCTACGGATCAAAAGATGAATTATACTATAAAAAAGTGATATTAAGTGCTAATTTTTATATGATATTTGTAATTATAAAAATTTTGATGTGAGATACTTAAATATGATAATTTTGAATAGTTTTGAATGCTATGTATATAAAAGCCTAAAAAATTTAATGTTATATTAAAATTCTACTTTAGCCTGCAAATCTGAAACTGTATTTTGACCTAATAATTATTTTCACCCGCCAGATCTAACAGGGCCGTATGCAGGTTAACCGTGGGCCCCACTTCTCTGCTTGCTCGGCGACTCTTCGAACCTGGATCCAATCGGGGCTGTTGTATAGATGATATATATATAGCGATAAACGGAACACCGAAAGTCCGGGAAACCCAAGCTGCGAGATTAGATGAATCAATCGCTTCATGGCCACCACACCACCAGCCGAAAACCCTCAATCGCCTTCATCTGCTTCCTCCTCGAAGCCTAGCCAGCCCTTATCATCTTCCAGAACCAGCCACCTCTTCAACACCCCACCTCACCGTCTTCATCTCTCTTCCCCATCTTCCTCTCCATCTTCCCGCGTGATCTACAGTGATCGATTCATCCCTAGCCGACTTGGTTCCAACTTCGCCCTTTTTGACATCGGAGGCGACGGAAGCAAAGACTCTAACTCCAGCCCATACGCGGCGGTTCTCCGAAGCGTCATCTTTGGATCGGATCACGGTGTTGTCCCGCCGGAGACTCCCGATCGGTGCTCATCTTCTCCTTCATCGGCTTCGTCAAGCTCATTTTCGACTCCGAGAAGGAATATTTTTAGGTTTAAGGCGGAGGTGCCACGGTATTCAGCTTATTCTGCGGGGTTTAATGACGATGTCCTTCCTGAAGTTGTTCCAAACCAGCCTAAGGCGAGCAGGAAGGTCTCCAAATCGCCTTACAAGGTTAGTGTGATTTCAGTATTTTTGATAGATCTGGGGAATTTTGTTGTTTGATGACATAATGGGTTTTGATTTGTGAGTAGGTGCTCGATGCACCTGCATTGCAGGATGATTTCTACCTCAACCTAGTTGATTGGTCTTCGCATAATGTTTTGGCTGTGGGACTGGGAAATTGCGTTTACCTTTGGAATGCTTGCAGCAGCAAGGTAGCTGTTGTTCTGAATTCTGGCTTAACCTAGTGGATTAAGTTGAGGTCTGTTTGATCTGAGGGAATTGGGGGCAATATAAATGAATTTTGCATAAAAAAAAAATTATTTGCTAATTTGTACTGATGTTGTAAATTAAATTTACCTATGGACTTATTTGGTTGCTTGTTAATGGCAAATATGTTTTAAAAAATGATGATTTCATTTTCACTCCTGAAAATGACATAAATTAGAGTTTTATGAAAGTTTTTTTGAGTTAAATGTCAATGTTGGTTTTTAGTTGTCCCCAGTCAAATGAGGGGGCTAGCAAAGTTCGCTGTTCTCCAAAATATTTTTCAATGAAATTTGAACAAATGAGAGTTTCAATTTACAATTATATGTCTAATCCGTATGAAAAATGGGGAAAAAAAGTATTTGTGCTTTCACCGTGACTTATCCACTCACTCCATGAGAAACAATTTTTTTTTACTTTCTCCTCAATCAAACAAGAAAGATAGATATATATTTTTTTGTTGAAACTTTCCTCCATAAAAAAAAATGGGGATAAAGCAATTTTTATCAACATTTCTTCTTATTTCATTTCTTACACTTTTATCAAATCATATAGCCTTAACACCTTGGTGAATTCTTAAGCGATGCTATGTGGATGATAGGTTACGAAGCTCTGTGACTTTGGTGTGGATGATAGTGTTTGTTCGGTGGGGTGGGCCCAACGAGGCACTCATTTAGCTGTCGGAACGAGCCTCGGCAAACTTCAGGTTAGTTCGTTGGAGTTTTTGATGAGCATATGGATATTGGCCCAACTATGTCACTCCATTTTGATGATATTTATGAATTTTTGGCTATAGATTGCAAATTGGATTATTTAATGCTGTTGGAGGTATAGTGTCATAGTTTACTTGCAAAAATGACCTACTTTGTACCATCTAAATTAAAAGAGAGCTGATGTGCTTAACCCTGCTTCATCTTAACTGCTATTTGAACAATATGATCATGGTAAACATTTCATCAGAATGTTGTTTCGATCCAAGTATGATGGAATTTCTCTTTTATTTGTCTTTGGATCTTTAAATCTTCAGTTTTGTTGAAGAGTGGAGTTATAAATTTTAGATGAAAAATCACTGTGATGAGGTTCTTCTAATAAATTTATGTTTCATGGATTATTTGGAAGTTGATAGAATATGTAATGGTCTGGTGTTGTTTCTGCCATAAGCTTCCTTATTATATCCATTGAAGCTTAAAAAAATTTCAGCTATGCTTGAAGGTAGGATGTTCAGTTTAAATTTCTAAATCACTGCCATGACGTTGGCTGAGGAGTTATCCTTAATCCATCCATCAATGCTGCAGTAGGCTTTTTTCAGTACTATACTCACTCTTATACTTTGCATTTCAACTAGTTGCCTTGCGTTGTGATTTATTGTATGAATGTTATCTTGTCATTTGTTTTTTAAAGTTTGCATCTTCTATATGAATATTCTTATAAAGCCATTCACTTTATATTTCAACTAGTTGGCTTACGTTTTTTTTATTTTTTTAATTTTTATCATCATTTGTTTTTAAAAGTGTGCATCTTCAATATGCTTATTATTATAAAGCTATTCAAGAATGTTGAAATCATTATTACCATATATCGTCTGCCTTTACTTTTTACTCAAGACTTTTTTTTCTAGCACTTTGTTTTGGCCAAAAAACTTGCACAATGCCTACCTTATTGCTCAGCGTTGCTGCAGTAATTTTTTTTAAGATGTTTGGCATTTTTTAAAAATAAATGCAAGTAATCAGTACTATCTAACGGCATATAGATATGGGATGCTTCACGTTGTCGGAGGATAAGAACTATGGAGGGCCATCGTCTTCGGGTTGGAGCTCTAGCATGGAGTTCGTCTGTATTATCTTCAGGAAGCCGTGATAAGAGTATACTTCAGCGTGATATTCGTGCGCAGGATGATTTTGTTAGCAAGTTAACAGGGCATAAATCAGAGGTAATGAAAGCCATTTAGCCACTGTTCAGATTTATTTTTTTTAATTTTTTTCTTGGGAATTAGCGGATAAAATTGGAGAAAGTCATCTTAGATGGTTTGGTCACATTAAGCGTCGACCATCTGATGATCCGATTAGGAGAGTAGATATGGTCACATTAAGCACATTAAGCGTCGACCATCTGATGATCCGATTAGGAGAGTAGATATTTTAGATTCGACTTATGTTAAAAAAGGTAGAGATAGACCTAAGAAGACTTGAGCTTATTGTATGAAAAATGATCTTAATTTATTAGAATTAAACGAAAATATGACACTAAATAGGATGCAATGGAGAAAAAGGATTCAGGAGAAACGACCCCACGTAGTGGGATTAAGGCTTTGTTGCTGTTGTTGTTGTTGTAGTATCTTGGGAATTATCATAATTATTTATTAAGATACATGATTACAGTAAAATGTTTTCCATTCCTTTTAAATTATGGTGTCATGCTGATGTTTTATTGATATAAGCTAAAATAAGAACTTAAAATTCCTCTGTAATTTCTTATGTTCGAGTTTTTTGTTCTCTTTACCTAACAGCCGCTTTTGTCATGAAGGTTTGCGGGCTAAAGTGGTCTTATGATAACCGTCAGCTGGCATCTGGAGGAAATGATAATAGAGTGAGTTGTTCTTATTTCCATTAGTCATTTGAAGCATTTTTATTCTAATAATAAATCTGTTTTTAATTTATGCAATCAAAACTGGTTTTTGTCTTTCAGCTTTTCGTTTGGAATAAGCATTCAAACCAACCTGTACTCAAGTATTGTGAACATACAGCAGCTGTTAAAGCTATTGCTTGGTCTCCACATGCGCATGGTCTTCTAGCATCCGGTGGAGGAACCGCAGATAGATGCATTCGGTTTTGGAACACCACAGCTAATTCTCACCTTAACTGCATTGATACAGGAAGTCAGGTAGTTGCTTATGTTTTTTCTGCTAACTAATTGGAATTTTTTTTTTAATTTTGTATATTCTGAAGTGCTTATCTTCTGTCCTAGTGAGAGTTCTAGATTCTACTAGTAGCATCAGGTAGTTTAAGTTGTCCATGTTATGAAAATTGAGAAACTTTTGCAATTAGCTTTATGGATTGCTTCAAACAGGACTATAAGATATCTTAGCTTAGTTTTCGGAGTATTTTGCATTTTATACATCATTTAGAATTTATTATGTTCATACAACTAGCACGGCATTTGTTAGCCCTTCATATTGTGTTGCCTAAAATAATCTTACCAAATTTGCTGATTTGGAATTTCTGTTGCTTGATTTATTGATAATGTAATTACTCTGAGAGTACTTATCAAGAGACTCTTATGTGTAAGGGTTTTCTTATTTAATTGAGCTTCTCAGACAATCAGATACTGACATCATTCGTTGTCTGTTACCTTTTATGAGGTTTCTCATAAATCCAATTCTTTTAAAAATAATTATAAAACAAATATTCAATGCCGTTGCATTATAGATGTCAATTGGTTTTTTTTTTTGTTTTATTTTGAATATTCTCTTTACTATGTGCTTATTTATTATAAATTTATTTTCTTTTATATATAGATTATTTGTTGAGTACTTGGTAGTCTTCCCCATTCATCCTTTTCAAGATCTGCTCTTTGTATAAGGCTCGTTTTATTATGTTTTTGGCCTTTATTCAGTTCTTTTCCTCGTGGGATGTGAAAGATGCTGCAATTCTGTTTCAGTAGAAGTATGAGATGAGCTTACAAAGGAAAATGAAATAGATAATTTTCCCCTATTTGCAATATTATTTTTCATCTATATCTTTATCTGAGAAAAGAGATGAATTTAATATAATTTTGTTACATGTGTAAGAATTCCTTTTTACACATCAATATATACATGACCGAAACTAATATTAAAAATTCTCAAGACTAATCCCTCAATTTCATTATGGATGTTGTTGGACCACACAATGATTCTCTTTGCATGACAGAATTCCTTCTTTTCTCAGACTAAACATCAAGATACGGACAATAATACTCTTTTTGTGGCTCAGTTGAACCTTAAGTGCTTGAAATGGACACCCAGAACCTTTCTTTTAGATTAATCCTTTGAATTTCTCTCCAGAATAGCCTGATGAGAAATTACAGCTTCTGTTTAAAGTTCTGGTGCTTCTCTAATTACAAGCTTAAATAGGTAAATAAATGAAAGATCCTAACATGCAAGGCTAGGACGGGGTTCTTTTCTTATTGTGCCCGTTGACTTTACAGATCTTAAATGCCCAAGGGAATTCTCTCACTAAGAAAGTATAATCTCATTGATCTTCAATATCCAAGGAAGTCTTCTAACTAAAAGATTTTTAGAACATATATTAATAACACCAGCATACGGCTGAACGAATGCGCAAATCTCATATCTCCGTCATAACATCCTGTAATTGAGAACCAAATGCATTAGTCAAAGAGTTTTGGATGATGTGGATTGAAGTTGATAAGCCAGGACCAACAATAATGAATGTCTTAGTACCTTTTGAGTTCCGAGCTTAAATCAGCTCAATTTCTTGTTTGGTTCCACCAACTAGAAGGCGATTTATCAACTTTTTGGCCATTTCAAGGTGCTTTGGCCATCTCATGCCATTGATCCATCATTAGCCAATGATGGTTGGTTGGCTAGATTTCATTATAAATTTATTCATGCAAATCTATTATTTGGAGCAGCATGCCTCCATAAATTTAGGTTTGAAATTTGAATAGATTTTCTTTCTAAATACATGGTCATCTTCTTACTCTCAGCTTCTGTACAAATGACATTCAAGGTTTTTGACATGTTTTTCTATCTCTCTTTCGCTTTTTGGTGGCTAAAAATGAGGTGTGTGGTTGTCAGAGAAGGTTAACAGATGTTGGACCGGTTGTATGTGTTTTCTAAGAAGACTGATATGTGTGGGAGGTTTGGCATTTCTTTGTCGAACTTGATAAGTTGCAAGGCCATTATTTGTTTAAATGTAGTGTCTTGGGCTGCAGTGGTGAGGATGCTATTAGCAATTCCTTAAGATTGTTCATTGACTATTAAAGTTTGGTGGAGTTTTGAAGGGCAACAACATTGCAAAGCTGATGGTGGTGTCTTTTTGATAGTGATTGTATCCTGAATGTTTTGAGTGCCCTTATCAAAATAAAACATATCGATGTTGAGATCTTTGGTAGACAAGAGTATTGGTCGTTCTATGGTGTGGGATCATTGTGAAGATTCTAGTAGCAAGAAAGGTTGATGCGCTATACTCATCTATGAAGTTGTTGGTTCAATTTGCTTTTCTATAGACTGTTTATGGAGCTATGGACACGTCCAACATAGAGATGTAGATGAATGTTAGTAAGCATTATTTTTGTTGTTTTATTATCTATTTTAATACATGCTATTAGTTTTTCACATCTATTTTTTTTTTCCAAAGAGTTGATATTTGACTTTAAGGTCTTAATGGAAAAGTAGGAGCGGTATGGAAAGATGAAAATTGAAAAGTTTAATGGCAAGTATTTGAGTTCTGAATGATGCATAACTAGTTTTTTTGTATTAGAAAAAAATACATTTACCTCTGATACCATTCTAGGGCGCCTAGGTGTTTCAAAAGGGGATTGATTAGGGTGGTGATTGTGGAATGACAAGGGAATAATAATATGCTAGTTCAATGATGTTTGGATGGGGATAACCATTGTTTGACAACTATCCAGGTTGAAAACAACAAAGAGATCTCTGAAATGATGATGTACAATCGGCGAGGAGATTCACCATCTATTCCCACACAAGCTACATACATACTGCTTGTAAAAAAGGAGAGGATATATTACTCTTTAAGATAAAAAACAAAGATTACAATATCCAACAAATATAAATCAAGCGATTGCTTTGAAAAATAGAAAATAATGGGATATAATAGTCCCCTCATAGAAAATAACCTAATTAGAAATAGAAAAATAAGAAAGACATCAAAAAAGAAAAAAACTTTGACTAAAATAGGTAATGGAATGACTTTCTGAGCATAACAAACTTTGTCGAGATTGCGGGAATCCATAGTTCCGGCTTGGGGACTCGATTGATCGTGGATCCAACCTATTCTGTGAAATTCTACAGAAACGCGAGATCCCGCGTCGTTCTCCTCGGTTAGGAGGTGTTTTTCTCTGAAAAAGTTTGGATCCCATTGTCAGATGTTCCTTCTCACAATATACTCATGGAGATTTTCAAAGTTGCAATTCACTGCTCATATATGGTTATCTGTTTGTGGGTGCGCTGTTGAACTGAACTAAAATTTAGTGCCCATTTTACTCCATTATATCTCCCAAAAATCACTAAAATTTTTTTCATTTCTATATAAAGCAATGATATGTTAGATCTCCCTAAGTAGTGGAAGCCTAAAAGGTAGGTTTTAGGTCAGACAATCTTGAAATTCACTTAGTTGAGGTTGCAATGTGTCTGATAGCAGATCATCAGACTCAGTGTCACCTAGGAGAACTAATGCTAATCTTTTGCAATATTTCTCTCACTGACTCAGTCTGAAGAACTCATCGAATCACTAGCATCTCTCCCTTGTCGGTTGGAAGTTGGTATTTCTCTTTAACTTTCTCATTCTCTCCTCTGTCATTGCCTATTTCTTCAACTATTTCCTACTCAGTGAAAGAGGTCACCCTCTTATTAGTGCAGTCAGACGCAATGTGGAAAAAATTGTGACATTTGAAATACTTCTTGGTTGAGAAAGATTTGGAAGTATCGGTCGTCTCCACCTCTTCTCCACTTTGGATGGGTTTCTCCTCAGGCGGAGTTGGCCTGGGTGCTACAATGAGTGTACTCTTGTTGCTCTATCTGATGGTTGATTCTTATTTGAATGTGTGGACATGATATTATTGTGTTGCCCCTCCAACTTTAGGACTAAGATTTGGGCATCCTGTAATGTTTAATCAGATTGTAATTATACCTCACTCTATTGGACAGTCTCAATTACCCATGATATTGGGCTCTAGTATTCTTCTCGGGCTCCATTAATTCACAATTCAAAATAAGCTATTCAAACTCGTTTATTCTACTAAGAGATCTTTCCGCTGTAAGTGAAGTCCTGAGAAATTGTCTTATCTGTAATGTGTTGGTAGATACTTGCGCTTCATCTCATGTTTCATCTTTGTATCAAGTGATGATCTTATTCTTCCATTCTTGTTGTTGCATATGCTTCAAATTTTTTCATAATAAGGAAGCATTCTTCCTAAGCTTGATTACTGTCAATTTAACTCTCTTGTTATGGGGAACGTCTTTGTATTAAAAAATTCATTCCACTATTTGGAGTCACTTGATAAACTAATCCACATCCATGTGATTGCTAAAATTTAACAAATTCACATTTACTCCGAAATCTTAGATTTTTCTTTAATATTTTATGCCAAATTACCGAGATATTAGTCCTTCGTCACTGGAAACTTTTCGGTGGAAGTAATTCACTTCCTCTCATCGATCTGACAAGTTACCGTTGTTGTTATGGGTGGTCTAACTAGATTCTCCTTTCAAAGATGACAAGCCTTTATTGCAGCTGGAGGATTTCTAATTGCATATCTTCTGTAATAAGTTCTTAGAATACTTTGCTGAGGGTTTTCCTTCGCGATAGGTGACCTTTTGTTTGGATTACATTTTTGACGGATGGGTTTAGGTTTCTGTGGTAGGTGCAAATGGATTTTTGTTTAAGGTAGGAAGGCTAAATTTTAAAAATTTAGTTTTATGACTTAAAATTGTAGTATGAATGGTTTGAGTATAGTGAGATTTTTTTTTCATATTTTGAATTTTGGATTTTGGGCAAGAAAGAAAATCCTTTAAAATGCAGTGTTTGTTTAGTTTTGATATTAGATGATACCGTTCTAAGGTTCCTAGAAGGTGCTTAGGAAGGAGATGTAGCAGGGAGGTGATTGTTGAATGGTAAGAGAATGATAATATGCGA